AAAGATACAATGCATCACGTCAAGATATATTAAGTCTTTAACATCTGGATCACAGTATCTCTGACCAGACTCCACGAAAATTAATTTTAAGAGCTACAGTCAACTGCTTTTACGAATCTTTGAATCTCTAAAGTGGGTTATCAACGATTGACCTCCACAAGCATTGTTCTTGCTGTAAAAAAAGACTCATTAAATTTTAAATCTTCATCACTTGTGTTCTGGGATAACTTTGATAGTGACTGACCTCATAAGGCCAAAACAAACATGATGAACATAGCAGATATCAGTTGATTCATAGGAAATTTTATATTTTGTTCTACAAAATGAAAAGGAACTCAACGATATGGTCTGAGCAGCCAATGGTAGATCTGTTCCTTTCACTTGTTCTGACATCATATTTCAAATTAGCATACAACTTTTACTTCTCAAACAATTTGCCTATCTTTCCGAAATAGAGAAGAACGAAGAAATTTCATAATACAGTACAATACCTGATGTTATGTTGTGAAATTGTGAGTTAGTGACAAATACATATAGCTCAAATGACAATCTTATAAATGTGACTGCGGAAGTGTTGAAGGAGCCCGACAGATCTCTCAATTTCTTTGCGAATGTTTCTAGAAGGTAGATAAGCAAACACATTGTAGGCACATGAAAAAGTTTATTTAAGCCTGCTTTGAACGAGTTAATATTTAGGTAATCAAAGCGTACCGCGTGCTATCAACCGACACACCTACACTGGTTGTGGAGGTAGCTTCAGATCCACCAGCAATATTTGAGTGGTTCTGTAACGACAAATCAGTTCAACAAGTAGGTTCACTACACAATATCCTAACACCTTTCGGGGAAAGCTGAGCAAATTTCAGGATAAACGACGCTTTCAAGCTCGTCACGGATTGAATATTACCACATTGACAGTTCACGAACCAGAGCAAGGCGTTTACAAATGCACTGCTCGTAATCCTGCTGGAGTCAGTACTAGTTATGGATATATTACGGTTAATTGTGAGTAATGATAGACTTTTCTATAATAATAACAGTTTAAAATAGAAAAGTATTGGTAAATTGATTCCAGTTGAACATCAACAAGATGGATG